TCAAGAAATATTAGCCATGGCCCATGGCTCCTCTTTCACATTTGGTTCAATAGTCTTGGGCGCTTATGTGATTTAAAAATGGGTCCAGATTCATCAGTTCTTAGAGCCTGTATTCAAAAGTACTACCTGCCGTCCCAAAAAACTTTGTCATTTTCAAATCTTTGACCGACTATATCGATTTATTAAAAATTATTTATAATACATAGTATAAAATATATATGAAAATGTTCTTTGTTAAAAGTACTTTAATAAAAGTATAACATTTGTAGATTCCATAATATTATACTAATCCAAATCAAGGTTCAAATTTTTGGAATTGGCAAAGTTTTTTAGGACGGAGGTAGTATTAACGTTGTCAATATTTTACTTCAAATCTACATCGTTAACTTTTTTCACAACTTGTTGAATTTATGAACTGAGCATGAATAATAGATCGATGAATCAATGGATTAAGATGAACTCATGAACAATTTGATTGATCAGATAAAAAAATTGATTGATTAAAGTTTTGACTTTTGAGAAACTGAGTACAGAAAAAATAAGAGAGAATGTAAAACTTTTCGTAAAACATGTTACACAAGACCTATAGACAAAGTGATAGAGACCTCCAAGATTCCAGACAATTTACAGAAAAATCAACAAGAAATAGATGAACTTTTTATTGATGAAGAAGAACAATTACATAAAGTAAATCAGTAACACTGGCAGAAGCCCCCAAATGAGCCGAAGCCCCCCAAAGAAGAGATAACCTCGATCTTCCCAGTCCCAGACTAAACATCTAAACAGCCTACATTTATGCCTTCCTTCCCCTTTCTATTTATAGTATAAGCCCTCTTATTATTCTCTATAATAATAGGCCCATTATAACAGGCCCACTAATCAGTATCTATTACTAATCTAGTAGGTAGATCCCTATCAATACTCCCTCCCTAAACATCCGGCAAATTATATCGTGATACCGGCATACCATGAGCATGGTATGCATGTACCACATACGGCACCGTTTTTCTGTGAGCACTACGTTTGTTTTTTTGTTCTTTTCCCAAATTCCCTTAAGTCAACCCACTTTCTTTTCCCTCAAGTCATCCAATGCTCCAGGTATGCTATTTCTTTCTCTTTACTTTTCTTTTATTTTCTTGAATTCTTTTTTCATCTCCATCAAAATACTAAAAATATTAATTGTGATTTTGCTTACGTTTATTTTTAACTTATTTCATTATAACTGATCAATTAACTTCTTTTAAAAAAATTATTACAAAATTTTATTAATCCACATAAAATAAGTATATTGCATTAATAATCATACACTACTTTTGCCAAAAAAAATCATACACTACTTTTTTACTATTATTCTTCAATTGAAATTACTATTGAATTTATATTTTTTTAGAGGTTCTTAAGACATTGAGTTTGTTTATTTTGATTTTTGAAGTTGTATTTGATAATATATCATGGAACTACATCTTCTTCTGCGCAAGTTACATCTCAATGTACGCGAGTTACATCTTAATGTATGAGAGTTACACACGGAATAAACTCTAGCTATATCATTTTTATAGCCCTAATATTAAAAATAAAACATATTCACTCATCATCATCATCATCACCCCAGTGCCGCAAAGGCTCCCACCTACGGTGGGGTAAGGGAGGGTCGGATGTACACAGTCTTACACCTGTACTAAAGCACAGAAAGACTGTTTCCAGATGACCCATAGTGAAAATCGCGTCCAAGATGCATGGACTGACTGTAGCTTTATAACAAAGAAGCGCAGGCAGTGTAGTGAGTCATTTTGCTTTATTCCATCATATTTTCAAGCCAAAAAATAGTGAGTTTTTGGCTCCATTGCAAATGATGGAAAGTAAAACATATTCACTATTTAGAAAAAAGTAATTAAGCTATTGAGATCCATTTTTCATTGTTTACATTCAAATCAATGTTTATAATATCTCAAACACACAAAACAAATCATTGTTCAATTTTCCAACAAGTTACATTATGTATACACCCAAGTTACATTTGCCATCAACTCGAGTTACATTTGTAATAACACAAGTTACATTAAAAAATCAACCCCTGCTATTGAAACAAAAAAATTATCTTTTCTAAAAAACTATTTTTTATGACCATGATATTAAAAACAACATATTCACGTTTTACCTAAAACAATTGTGCAATTACTCTTTTTTTCATTGTTTACATTGAAATCAATATTTGACAAGTTACATTTTGGATGAGCTTGAGTTACATTGATCAATAATGCGAGTTACATATCTTTACATGCGAGTTACACCATCCATGTTATTGGGACAAAAAAAAAGTCATTGTACACGCGTGTACTGTTCACGCGATTTTTTTAAATTGCCCAAAACTACATCGTTTTGGGAGTGAGAGCATGATGTTCATGGTGTGACGGTCGTATGGTATACGAACTGTAAACATTCACCTTGTCCTCAAGGTGGGTGATAGGAATCAGCCTTGACTATCAACTTTATCTTCATCAGAGCACCTCTCTCTTCCTAGTACAACATTGCGTTGTGGATCTTTAGCTTCAACACTTGAGCATTTATCTTCATGTTCTTCAGTGCCAGTAAGGAAAGGGCTGCACACTGATACCCAACATATTGATACTGAGGTATTGTCATAATTATTCTTCCCAGCAAATAAGGTTCCACTATTATATTCCTAACATCTTCACCTAGCTCGGTTTCCATTACAAGAACACAAGTGGAACATTTCAGTTCAGGATCATTGGTGCCTAAGATCATTTTGTAAGGTTAAAAATTTGCTTCAGTTACCAATCCATTAACAGTATACTGAATAGTATGGTCTAGGACCACCCTGATTTTATCCCACTGGTATTCAAGAGTCAACTTATCAACCCATCTCAGTCCAGAATTAAAAGTCCTAAATTGGAGGTAGTATCAAACTATAGCCCTGAACTGTCATCCCATTTTTCCTAGCTAAGTTGCCCTGAACTAATGCAACATCTTCATCTTTGATGGTTTAGTCATGACTGTCACCCATTCCCCAATCCTTCTCTATTGTCCGGAATATCTTGATCCCAAGAATATCAATTGTCATATGAAGCCTATAGTTCAAACCTGCACCACCCCTTTGAAAGGTATACAAACTATTAGCATACTCCTTACCTTTTGATCAATTATCAAGGCCTCTCGGAATATAGCAGGACTGTTTTCCTTGTTAAGCATCAAGAACATGTCATCCTTATCATCAGTAGCATAATCCTCCTTTTCCTTCCAATTCTGAGTAACTCTTACATCCAACTCATTTAGAATATACCTTATAAAAGTAACATCCTCACATCTGAAACTATCAAACTTGTTAAATGACTTCATTCCTTCCAAAGTAGCGTTTAATGAATGACAGTACCTCATTTCAATCTTGAAAATGTTTGGCTAATTCCTCTTCTGTGCAAGATGATAAGAAACATCACATACTTGAAGAAGCCTGAACCTATTGGTTTCAAAGTCTGATTGTTCAAGATCGTACTTGCAAAAATTTGGAAATCCAGCAACTGCACCAGCTTCAGTTTCAAGGTTAACAGACGATTCCTCCTTGAGTTCCTTGTCAGTTATCGCCATAGGTATGTGCATCTTCCATAGAAGTTTTCTGCTGATTGATCAAGCCCTGCTTTGAATCTGAGAACTCAAATAGCGATTGCGAACTTGATATTTCTGCTCCCGTCAAAACCAAAGGACCAGAAGAAGTTTCTTGCGAAACGATTTGAGACGAAGAAAGCGAATAGCAAGGCTCAACTGTCGATGAAGATGACATTCTCCTCTCACTCGCGTCTCTCTTTGACACGAATTGCTAGCCTATGAAGAATTATGTGAATGGTGATGCGAAGAGCTATGAGAAGAGTGATGCAAAGAGATATGTGATGATTGATGCGAAGTTCGAACTGAGCACTCTGAGAAGAAACATATCGTGACTCTACCTGCGATAGCGGATGACACTTACTATTCCTCGTTCGGTCGCCAGATTTTCTGCGATGCCTCTGCTCTTCAGACTCCTCTGGACTCGCTGACTCTCGCGTGTGATGATGAGAGTCGCGATGTGATGATTGTGACGCATGCGATCGGTTTCGCAACCGACTTTGAAGTTTGTTTATCATGTCCGCGAAGCCAGCCTGCATAGCGACCATCATCGTCGCTAACCTATCATTTGTCTCCCTCATCAGTCGGCCAATATTATCAAAACCATTTGCCATTTGTGATGTCATGTAGAAATCCTCCTCCATGATTCAGATTCTCCAACTCCAGGAAATAACCGCTCTGATACCAATGATAGAGACCTCCAAGATTCCAGACAATTTACAGAAAAATCAACAAGAAACAGATGAACCTTTTATTGATGAAAAAGAACAATTACAGAAAGAGAATCAGTAACACTGGCCGAAGCCCCCAAATGAGCTGAAGCTTCCCAAAGAAAGAGATAACCTCGATCTTCCCAGTCCCAGACTAAACGTCTAAACAACCTACCCTTATGCAATTACGCGGTTATGTCTTCCCCTTTCTGTTTATAGTATAAGCCCTCTTATTATTCTCTATAATAATAGACCCATTATAACAGGCCCACCAATCAATATTACTAATCTAATAGGTAGATTCCTATCAATACTCTCTCCCTAAACATCCACCTTGTCCTCAAGGTGGGTGATAGGAATCAGAGCACCTCCCCCTTCCCAGTACAAGATAATAAAATATTTGCATAATAGTCCTTGAACTCTTGTGTCTTTTAATTTGTGTTGCATTTTCTTCTTTTTATATCGCCAGCATCCCCTTTATATGTTGATACATTTCGTGTTGGAATAGTAAGACATAAAAAGTTGATCTAAATAAATATTATATGCTCATCATCAATATAGGAGATTGTCAAACTGTAACAAAGATATAAAATAAATTATTGACCTGAATTACATTATTTGAAGTTCAGGTTTTGGGTCAGATCTAAGTTTTTATAGATCGTTTAACCCCATGTTTATATGAACTAGATTCCATATTATTTAATTTTGGGAGTAATAATAATCCAAGATAACAATCAATCTACACCCCAACTTTGAAATGGGTGGAGAATATTCCGGGGTTGCCATTGCCAAATAAAACCCAGTTGAAGGTTCTAAACCTGTAAATAAAAACGCCCTGTTCAATAATACAATGTACCAAACTAGTGAACTACCAAGGATGCTTTCTAAAGAACAGGTTGGTAAACCTCTAATTCAACCTTAGGTCTGCCTTTTCTGCTTTATCATATCTACTCGAGTTGACGCAAAACATATACTTAACTTGAACTCTAAATTAACACTATAACATGCTTTGCAGCCCTGCATGCAAGCTCCGGCTCAGTAAAAATCAGCTGCAAAAGAGAACAAGCAGTGGCATTAGCAGATTTGGGCATTAAAATTAAGCTTTCAAGACCAGGAGCCTCTCCTCACATGCATTAAGAATATACCTTCGATCAAAAATTGAAAGTCTGAACTGCCCCTCGGCTTCTTGTAAGAATTGCAGCATTGGCAGATAGTGTGCGTCCAGACAAACCAAAAGTTGAATTTGAATTTTGAGGGTTTGCCCCTTCTGTTGTTGAATGTGTGTTTTGGATGTGAGCACTGACTCCACCGATCAATCCTACCACATCTGATATCCCGTGGCGAATCTAAACAAAGATTCCTGGTTAAGGACCCTTACCTTGCGTAATAGGAAGATAATAGTAGCAGAATCGAGAAAGAATGGAAGACGCCTACCTTTGCACCAGTGGACAGACCTCTATGCAGGGAGCGCTGAAAAAGCAGAAACAATGAAAGATATAAAATGACTATATGCCACATTTTGATACTACAAACTACAAAGGGTATCATGATTTTTTCTAGAGCTTTTGGCTAACTCCATTTGTTAGCCCTCTACAGCAAGTTATATTTGCTTCATTTACCACCCAGGTTGACTCCATTTAACTCCAATAGAGTTTTTTCCATTTTCAGACCCCTGACTATAGAGCTAGTGACACTTTTGATACTCGACTTTCAATTTTTCCATTTTTAGTCCTCAACTATTGTGCAAGAGAGACTTTTAGTCATCGACTTCAATGTTTTCCACATTTAGTCACCTGAGTATTACGGAGTATAATATTGACACTTTTAGTCCTTCCACTATAAATTTGACACAATATATGGAGGACTAAAAATGTCACTTTTATAATAGTTGAAGGACCAAAAGTGTCAACAATTTTATGAAAGTCAAAGGACTAAATGTGAAAATTTTTAAAGACGGGTACCAAAAGTGTCTGTTGCGCAATAGTCGAAGGACTAAATGTGAAAATTTTCAAAGACTGGTACTAAAAGTGTCTGTCGCACAATAGGCGAAGGACTAAAAGTGGAAAAACTCAAAGTCGAGTACTAAAAATGTAAGTGACATATTAGTCGGAGGACTAAAAGTGGCAAAAACTCACTCAAGTATTAAGAACTGATAAATCATTTACTAACTTTCTCATATCCATTGGAAGAAAATGGAGATGGTGGTTCAACAGTTGAAAAGGAAGAGGACTCAACCTGCAAACACCAAGGATAACATAAATAATAAGCACCTACGTTATACTTCCATGCAATATGGCATGAAGAAATTCAACCCAGATGTGTTTGATTCGCAAAGATGCATATAATTGGTACTTTTGCCTCACTAATTTACAATAGCATCTGCTCAGGAATCTTCAAACAGGTCTGCCTGTGCACCAAGGTATAACCCCAGGTGTGCCATTTAATTCTTTAAGCTAAACATAGATGTTTGCAGAATTTATTAATTTTGTAGCACGTACACATTCAAATACGGAGTATATCTATATTTTTATAATAAGCCGTTCTTTTATACTCCCACCGTCGCTTAAAATTCTTCCCACTCACCTTTTTGGGACATCCCAAAAAATTCTTCCCATTTCCCTTTTTGGAAAGTTTTGTGTGGCTAACATTCATTTACCTTTTTCTTACTCAACCACAACCATACATTTCCACTTTATTCCCACTTTCTTAAACTTTGATCCAAGTCAAACCAGGAAGAATTTTATGGGACGGAGGGAGTACTACGCATTATTTTATTTCATAAGTAATTTTTGTGCTTAATCCATAGTAAATGACATTTACATTATGTAGCAAGAATTTTCATTATAAAAAATGAAATGCGAGATTTTTTACAAAATAAGTGTGAATATGTATACAAGTATGCTTGTAGTGTCTATATATATAAAGATTAAGGGACAGCCAAAAGTTTACAGTGTGCCACAGCGGCACAGCCCATGGGAGAAGAAAACTGAGGAGACTTTTTACCACAAAATTTCAAGAATGCATACCACCAACCCAGCCCCCATATTATCATAGTAAATAGGCGGAAATTAGTGCAAGCATACAAGAAGGGTTGGAGTTGCTGCTGGAAATTCAAGAGCAGTATTGATTGATCTTGACGCAGATGCCTGTGGAATTATGAAATGAGGTTAACAAGAAACAAAGTATGACCAAAGAAAATATAGTAGTAACGACAATAATATTTCTCATGCCTCAATCTGCTCCACGCCTTTACTTTTTTCTAAATTTCTTGAATACGCAATCAACTTTCCCAGGCCAAAGTTTGTCTCCCTCTACAAATCAAAACAACACCACTGGCTATTAGGCAACAAAAACTATTTGAGTAAGTATTAGTGACATTTGGCAGTTAGTTCAGATTATACCTGTCTCCCTTCTATTCTACTAATTTTGGTCTCCTGTGTCACAAAAGAAATTTAATTAGTTTGCAACCCAATGCACAAAACTACAAATAGATATAACCACAACTAGCACAAGGAAATGAAAAACAATTACCAGATTTTGGACAACAAAGGTAACTGATTCAAGATCATTACCAAGTGTTCTCACCTCCCCTCTAAATTCAGAAACCTAAGTGACAGAATAAAGAGGTATAATAAATGTGAAAGTTAAAACTTTCAATGAAGAACAAGACAACTAACTATAGCTTTAAAGATCCCACCTCCTCTCTAATCGCAGCTGTATTGTCAGCACAGTCATCTACTTTGGAATCAAGACGGTTGATTCGAGAAGATAAATGTTTTTTTGTTTCCTGGGAATACATAACAAAACCTTAGCATGAGAAGACAATTGCATTTACAGTGCAATAACCCTATTAACCAACTCTAGAACCAAGTAACCAAACAAAAATTTAGCTAGGGAAGACTGTTTAGGTTGTTGAAACCTGAAAGAGTTCTATGCCATGTACTTTTATAAAGCAAAACATTTTGGTATTTTCATAATCTTATACACACTAAAGCATGTGATAAAATCATAAAACAAAAGAGCTAACATTGCTCAAGATTATTTTATCTGTATTTTCAAAATTTTCACTATTTAGAGTTTATGGCTGTGAAGCATACTTTTAAATGACAGAGCATATTTAATGTATTTTACAAACATCAGGTCATGTATAAACCTCTCAACTCTCTAATTTTTCTTAGTTTAAAAAAATTGCTTTCAATTATATATACCAATATGAATGAGTAGAGGTGTGTGTATATGTTTGTGTAGAGGAAATGTTACTATCAAGTAATCAAGCAGAGAAAAACTTGCCGAAATTGAAGTGTAAACCCCCTCAAGCTGTTTGGCCACAGAAGAGCAGGCATCATTTAAACCACGCCGGGTTGCAAACATCCAATCAGGAAGCTTCCAGCCCTGCGGATATAAAGTTGTTTTAGAACAGCATCATATATGAAAACGGTATACAGAAAAATCTTGAAATGGGAAAAGTAACAGCAAAAATGAACTTCGAAATTTCACATTAATGTAGGCCTGTTCAGTTTACGATTAAGTAAGCTGTGAAACCAAATTAAATAACAATGTATATTTTCACTGAAAAATAAGTTAGAAGAGCCACCTTCCACCAAATATATCCATATCCAACCACCACAACAACAATGATCAAGCCATATCTACCACTTGAGCCTGCAAAGAATTTTCAAATTTTAAATTAAAATTGCTTAGTTGTGATTTTCTTTTGAACAGGAATACTGCAAATACAGGGCAGCAAAGGCTTGGTACTGATCACAAAACTCTGAATTTCACATGCTTAGCCAGTGCATGCAATGTGGACAGGTACATCTTCTTCATTACCCCAGTGCCGCAAAGGCTCCCACCTACGGTGAGGTAAGGGGGGTCAGATGTACGCAGTCTTACCCCTGTACTGAAGCACAGAGAGACTGTTTCCGAATGACCCAAAGTGAAAATTGCTTCAAAAATTGCATGGACTGACTGTTGCTTCATAATAAAGAAGCAGACAGTTTAGTGAGCCATTTTGCTTTATTCCATCATATTTCAAAAATAGTGGACAGGTACATGATTAGGTAAATTTTTTATGTTGAACATTAGCATCAACAGTTAAGAGATAGGCACATTACTATGTATGGAATGTAATAACACATGCATTGTAGCTATTTCTTTTCAGTATCAATGATCCGTCAATCAGATGTGTACAAAACGATAAACAGATGCATGAAAAGTAAAGTAGTTTCTTTCATTTATAACTTGCACAGACCTGAACCACCTGGAGTAACAATGGTTATAGATCTATTATTAGATGCCAAGAGCTGAAGCTCCTCTCGCAAGCTATTGACCTGTAAAGATAAACATAAATTCAAACCCTACAACTAAAACCTTGAGAGTTGAAGTTCCTAGCAGAGCTCAGCATGAGCATATCAATGACAACATACATAATAGAATGCTTGATGCTTCTCCTGAGAAACAAATAATCTAATAGCAAATATAAAACAGCAAAGAAACTGGATCATCATCTTTATTCTCCTTATCTAATACTTTATTTTTCTCCCAAGGGGAAAGGTTTCACCATATGACACTTCAAGAGACATGCTTCCAACCGTAAAAATACATATCCACAGATGCAGAAAGACTGTTACAGTCCTGTGATTGGTCCCAGATGCCTAATGTCAAGCAAAGGTTGTCCTTAGATGTGTCTGGTATCTGTAAATGTGGTTTCTCTCATAATAGAAAACCTATATTGGGACTCTGGGGGGTATTTTGGTATAAAAGATCTCCATCACATGAGTAACTACATGTGGAATAACCGAAAAGCAAATATAACATGATCAAAAATTATGCTTCAATCATTGTTGTAACACGTTATAAAGTTGACTAAAGATCTGCCACAAAGGAAGCAAAATATATTTTCCCCCTTGGTTGGCATTGATTCTAGATATACCATTCACAAAAAGGAGAACATATGCATGAGTGAAACGTCTAACTTAATAGTAAAAAATAGTACAACTTTATGACCATAATTAGCAAATCACAAAAAAATAAAAACTTCACTTTTACAAAGTCAGAGAGAACCTTAAAAGCATGCAATAACATCACTTTTCAAAAACAAATTTAAAAAAACATACATGAAAGGACATTGCAAACCTGCTGCAACAAAGCATCACTACGAGGCTTAGGATTTGAATTTTTTGAATTATCTTGCTTGAGTTGTCTCCACAAAATCTACAACAGACAAACCAGTGAGCTTGAATAAAAGATTTAACCAAAACCAAAGGATACTCAGCAATCACCATAAGGATGAAGTTTGAAACAGTTAGAATATTTAATGAAGAAATAGTAAACACTAAACATACCTTGAAGGCACCTGAGAGATAATCACCTGCACTTGATTCTTTAGCAAGTGCTGACACCACAACGCCTGCAAATACGCACTTGATAGATTCAGGCTTCAGTAAGATTATGATAACATTGCTCGAGAAACACCAACATTAGTCAAAAGCATTGTACAAATCCTGCATGGTCCCAAATAATCCCCACTTAGGCGCTACGTGTTCCTTGACGTCAAGGTGTTTTCCCACCCAAGCCCCACCTAATTTTATTATACTTAATACCCTGACTAACTCCAATTAATCACTGACTTGGCACTAGGTCACTGTCCACCACGAGGCATCAACCGATTTTAAAACATTGGACTGATGAGGCGCTAAGGCACTTTCCACCATGAGCACCAACCGATTTTTACAACATTGGTTGGAAGCAATATACTACGTTCTCTAATTATTTAAATCACTATTCGGTGGAAACTCAGTCAAGGGCCGAGACACGGGTAGGACCGATTACTCGGGATTACACGGTGATTACTCGGCCTTGTATTATTTAAACTTTAAAAAAAACATAAATGCCTCAAAATGCTAGTAATGGGTCAGTCTTATAATTCTTAAATATGAATAAAATAATAATAATCCTGATAAAGAAGTAGCAACAAATTTCAACAATCATAAACTTTCTAACTACCAAGAAAATCAATCACCTAATAATACCTAATTCTGAGCGTTTGTCCTAAAGAGTAAACTAATCTTCATTGGGTTTAAGGCCGTCATTTTTTTCTTCATCATCCATGTGCACAAACCTAGACTGACTTTGTAATCTTAGTTTTCCAAATTTTAAAATATGTACTAATTATTCATAAATTCCATAATATCCCAATTTAGTTTAAAATTTTCAGATTAACCCTAAAAATAATAATTTTATTGCCTGTCAAGTAACTCGGAGAGTCAAAATTGCCACAGAGTAGTGAAAATTGCCAAGTACTAATCGGCAAATCCCTACTCCGAGTAGCATGTACCCCGACTAGTGCTCGCCGACTAGATGACATAGTTCGTACTATCCATGTAAAAAGTGTACAGCATGAAGATATTAACTACTTATCACTTAAACCTGAACTCGTGAAGGTTCAAGTGCGCACATTTCCAAACCATGCATACAAATGACGATTGTTCTTTATTTTACTCTTTGACTTTATTTGGACAGTGCTGAAATCCAAATGTTCAAAAGAAAGAGGCAACCACTAAGGATGTTTTTACTTGGACTGTAATTTGCTGGTCTGGTCTGGTCTGGTCTGATCTGGTCTGATCTGGTCTGGTCTGAACTGGTCTGGTAAGGTCTGGTTTCTTTGTATTTTTATAACTATCCAAGTCTGGTCTGGTCTGGTCTGAACTGGTCTGGTCTGGTCTGGTCTGGTCTGGAATGGTCCGGTCTGGGGCAAATTACAGTCCAAGTAAAAACATCCTAACTACTACCCATGTGCAAATGATAAGAAATTTGACCAGAAATGCCAATCTAAATGACCTTCACCCTATTTATAACTTAGTATTACTATCAGTTAAACACCCAACACCGGCTGCATATAAAGATGAAAGTAACATATATTGTTTGAGCTACTCTTTCTAGGAATATATAAGTTTTGAGTTACTTTTCTTATTAGGTTCTAGGATAAGTTCAAACGCAGGGACAGAGCTAAGGTTTGGATTATGGTGCCAATCGACACCACTAAAAATTATCTATGTGAGCGTGTGTACATATATATAATAAATTTTAAACATGAAACCACATTTATTAAATGAGGTTAGTTTAAGGAATTTACTCCCTCTATCTCACATATTTTTTACAAGTCTGATTGAAACAGAAACTAATAATACAAAAAAATATGTTGCTACAATTTATTTAAAAGTGAAACAATATAATTCAAAAAATCCACCTTGAGATACATTTAAGGTTTGTTTTGAGTTTTGAGATTAAAAAAATTGAAAGATATAGGGAGTACATTGTTTTTATTGTGTAATGGTTTTCAATATACTATCTATATTTTTTGTTTAGTCGAAGGATGACCGGAAAAATGCTAAGAAGAAATCAATACTGAATGCTTGAATCAATTAACACGAGAAACTAATTCATAATCTTCTAAGCATTGCACAAAAAACCATAAAAGGGTCATATTTATTAGTTAAAAATTTGAAATAGTTAGCTATTTTATATTTTATAAATATTACTCCCTCCGTCCCGCAAACATGTTTCAAGTTTGACCTACACGTAATTATAAAAGATAGAGTCTCTTTGAAATTCTAATCAGGCCCCTACTTTATATCAAAACAAGCACACTGTAAGGATATTTGTGATATTTTCCTATTATAAAATTTCTTTTGTGGAAATTGAAAATTTATTTCAGGTATTTAAATAAGAAAAGTGGAAACTTGTTTGTTTTGGAATAAAGGTGTTATTATGAGCTTTTTTAACTGTTGAACTTGATTCCAAAAGATACTTTTATGGGCTTTTTAGTAACGGTTAGCTTTTAGTGAATGAAAAGATCTTAAAACGAAAAAGGTTGTAGCTATTTGATAAAAAAACTGACTGTGATTTAGTTCACTGTTATGACTAATTAATGTTAAAAGCTACTGACTTTCCCCAGATGCCATTGTTTGTAATTGCGCAATGCAATTGCGCCTCATGGCGCGCCTCAGCTAATTCCTGGACTATGGCATAAAAGGCATTGCATATGGCGCTGGGAGTGTGATGTACGCAATATTGCACTGAGGCGTACGCAATATTGGATACGCAATAAGGCGTTCTGAGGCGTACGCAATAGGAGGTCGGGGTGTAGGGGTATTATTTGGGCCCACTCGACCCACTTTTAAATTTTTATAATTGATCTTATGATTCCTATTTCAAACCAGTAGTTATTGATTGAATTTTTCAGTCAATCAATCTAATTAATTTAAATTTTCATATCTTATATTTTTATTTTGATAAATGATTCAGAATGTTTTGGTATTCTATGGTACTTTGAATTTGAACATGTTACTTTGCTTGGTCTCTTATGGTTTGTTTTAATATAACATTTGACGACTTTTGATGAATATGTTTATTTTTTATTATGTTTATATAGTATATATATATATAGAGAGAGAGAAAAGTGATCCTGTCCAGCAAATTTGTGTCCGAACAGTGTCCGAACATGGTCATTTGGGGCACTTCCCGGTAGAATTTTTTGATGAAATTTTTTGAGCAAGTTCCTCACCAAGTCTAGTTTGTCCAGTCAAATCATTTTTTTAAGTTGACTGCGCCAAAATATACATATAAAAACGCAGTCAACTTCAAAAAATGATTTGAATGCCTTCCCGATCGTGGCCACCGGGAAGGGCCCCAAATGGCCATGTTCGGACGGAGGCTCCTGTCCGAACGTGGGGACCTGGACATTTCCGTGTGTGTGTGTGTGTGTGTATATATATTACGCCTCAGCTATACGCCTCATTGCGCAATGAGGCTTACGCAATATGCAATATTAAAAAAACGCCATGACTACGCAATTCGCAATTTCGAACCTTGCCAGATGCTACCCACTGATGCTACCCACTGTAGCATCTCAAAAAAGATCTTTTATTTTGTAAAAAGCTCTAAAGATTGTCCTACCAAACACACAACCAGAAGCTTTTGGAGACTTTCTAAATAGTACAAAAGCTAGAAGGAAGAGGCTTATGCCTACCAAACATGCACTATATCTATAACACTATTACTTAAATTACTTAAATAAGATGACACCACTACGACTAGAGTCTGGCTCTGTCCCTCTCCACCCCTGCTCTTATGAGCAGTCACTCCGACCGACTAATACTCAACAAACAGAAAATAGATTTATGAATCAATTTGCTTCAATAAGCCTTACAGGCATCAGCCTCACAAGCTATTAAGAGTTATCCCACAGCTAATGTTAAGTCATCCCAAACCATACAAGCTTCATATGTTATTTCGAATCAAGTTCAACTGTACTAACTTGGAGCTGGAAAAGAAAGGTGCAGCTTTTAAAAAGATTTTAATGGTGCTAATGAGAAAACCCTAAGCTAGTTGTCTAGCTAGTAATGTAACTTGTACTAACCGCAGGGTTCATAGAAACCCTAAAATTCCATAGCGAATCTTCTGAGTAAAGTAAACCAAAAACATACACAACCAGACAGGCGTAGTTCATACAAATTGGCAACAAATAAAACATGCTGAGGTGAGGCTTTGGATGTACTGACCGGTTCCGAAGAGGAATGCGACCTTGCCGAGAGGAAGTGCCATGGGGAGCGACGACTGTGAAAATCGATTACTCAAAACGAGGAAGCATAATGGGGAAAGAGGGGAAGTTTGTGAATTGACGGAACAAATTACAAGCACTGGTAGTTTACAGCGAAGTAAATTAATCAAATCAAATTCTAAGAGAGACGCATTTTTATCATATTAGATTAGAATCTAATCTAATCTAATCTAATCTAATCTAACAACAATATAATAAATCTTTAAATCTTTAATAAGGATTAGTACCCTTGATTTATGTCAATGCATTGTGTGCATGTGATGTTGTACTTCGTTATTAAAAAGTGGAACTTTATTTTTCCATTTGACTTTTTTATCCTTCTATACTGTTTGAAGTTTAATCTCCGTTATTTTATCCAAGTTACAACCCCGCGCATCACCTTCGCCTTTGTAATAAGCTTTCATCGATGCTTAACCTCTCTTAAACTCTTCTCTTGTTCCTGACAGCCTCTTCGTTTTCTATTCCGTTGAGAGCTTCCATCGCGCCTTGTCTAATGCCTGATTGATTAACATGGTTGCCGAACAACCCAGGCGTCCTTGGCCTATAAATAATTCCCACCTAAGCTTGGCATATATATTTGGGATTTCTTTTCATCGTTTAATCGTGTAAGCTTTTCAATCTGTACTAATTTCATTTGATTTCAATTCGGTTTGTGTTCTTCTTTGTTCTTTTTTCAGATTGCATTGTTTTCAAGTTGCATTGTCCGAATATGAAATAATGAAATTAAGCATCTTGATATCAGTTCAATTATGTTTAGGAAATCTTGAAATGGACTCCTCTTCAACAAGAAAAACAAAGAAAAACTTCCATCCCAGGATCACAAATATACAAATACAATTTTTGTTTTCAAAGGGATCCTATTTGATCTTGAAAAAAGCATTTATGTAGTATTAATTAGATCTCCATCTAGATAGAGATCCTATTTTTCATTTGCTTGGTCTCTTAATATTCCCTTCTACTATTAGATTGATTGTTATGTGTTTGCAAAAATGTCCATATGAAGTTTTAAAGTCCTATGGTTTGCAATGAAATATATTTTTTGTAGCGTGGTTTCTGTCATTACGTTTGGTTGATACAACTCTTTGCTTCCATTTTATGTGTTCCAGCTATAATATGCTTACAAATTTAAACAAATAAAGTTAGAAATATTGAAAAAAATACATGGTCTGAATTTGTTGTTTACATTCCTAAAAAATCTCATGTTATTGAAATAAATCTCATTGTCGCTTTAAATTCATGTTGGTCATTTACATACTTGACAGTTTTTTTGGGCATTGTTATACACAAGTTGCCTTGAGAATTCATTGTCACTCAAAAAGGGCAACTAAAAGCTAATGACTTCTTAATCATGGATGAAGAGTAAGTTGTTGAAATTTTAATTATCCACCTCAAATACATTATCACTTACTTGCATGTAATATTGTGGTGAACAACCAATTGTGTTCACACTCTGGGAAAGCTTTGCTTCCAATCAAGGTGTTGAGATGGAGAAGGAACTTAAACAAGGACTTTACCCAATAGTGCACGGGGGAAAAATTGCAATGAGGAGGTTCAAAGGTACAACAATACATTAGAATACAATAAAATACTTCCTATATACATATGCACATATTAGGTTGCATTCAATTGTACAATTATACAATTGCATGAGGTATTTTTTTAATAAGCAGGCCGGTCTCAAGGCGAGACTGTATAAAAGAAACAATAAAGAGAACATTATGCTCTTATTAGTTTGTTGGTTTGGCTCTGGAGCATTTACGTGTGTTGAAATGTTTATACATCCACCTTTACATTTTAGATTTTTTTTAATCAAGGATGGAGCTGTAGTTTGTCACGGTGTCTCTCTTAGGTGCCTTTGGCTGTTCCAAAAATAAAAAAGAAAAGCAATTGAAAATGGATTAGTTTCTCTCCTGGTTGATTTGCTTTAAAGTTATTATATTATGCCCACTCATGCATTGTGTTGTCGTTTCTTAAGTTTAATAAATAATTGTTTTGTGCTTTCAAGTTCAAAGTTGTATAAGTAATAAAACATGTACTCCACTTATTTGCTTATCCATTTATCCTTATCAGGATTCTGTTTAGGAGTATTCAGTATTATGTTCTTAAAATAAATACCCTTGTTTACTGATGTTTCTTCTAATGTAAACACACCTTCGTACTTTCTAGCATATCACATGTTAACCTTGATATTATGTAATTTGAATTTAAAATGCATACAACGCCTAATAATGAAAATGATATACGTGCAGCACCGTTTGTTCTGAGAGTATACACTACTACAACAATTTTAGTGTATCAAGTTGAAAACACTAATAGTGAGGGAAAAGTTAATTGTAACTAATATTTGGAAATTAAATACTCTTACTTTGCCTGTCTAACCAAATGGCCCGTAAATGTTAAATTCAGTTAAACACCACCCCAACATCCCTTCTTAAGTCTTTTCACATAACTTACATGTGTATTTTATGCAACACAATTCCATAATATAAGGAATAACCACGTGCTTCTTGTTGGGTGTGTTTCGAAAAACAATGAAAATAATTAATTAAAATTAATTAAAGAAAATGACTAAAAGAAAACCAAGAAAAGAGATGGAGCAGAATTTAGCCAAAGCTCGTGCTATGCACGATGTCCTTAAAACGTATTCGTTGCCTCCCGGAATGCTAGGAGCGTTGCAAGAATCGTTTCCCAGGATACGATGACTACCGAGCAATCGTTTGAGTGCTCAAACGACTATTCCGGCAAACATGAACAAAGACAGAACACAGAGGAATATTTCGGAAACTGAAGGTGTTTTTCAGAGCTCAAAATACGTGAGGGAAGTGTGTATGAACGTGTATTTGTTGCAAACCACCTGCCAGCCTTTTATAGGGAAGATTTGTTGTGTGTTAATGGAGGTTTAATGGATATGAACGTTGGTAATCAATGTCCAGCTCGTTGGCATTGATTCGTTCAGCAGCAGCATAAACGTAGGGCATTTATGTGTTGTAAAATCCCAGCAGCAGCCTGTTGCGGACGTTCTATCTTCTATCTTTAGAAGATAGAATTTTCGGACGGCATTCATGTCCGCAAGTCGCCCGCGCACGCAAGTCGCGCTTTTTGTTATCCGGTCGCCCGCGCACGAGAGAGAGCATTTCCCTTCAGGAATCTTAACTCCTTAGAGGGGCTTCCCTTTATAAAGGGTTCAAATTCCCTTGGGTTTTCCGGTGTGGGGAAAAACCACACTAGAACCCATCTTTTCCTAGTTTTCTTCATTATTACGAGTCAACTTTGAGAATCAATTTCTCATTCACCCGTTATCCGTTTTGAGCGTACCATATATCGAATTGTAGCCATAAGCAAGGACAATCCGAAACCACTTTGACCCGGCCCAAATCGGAAGTGGAATCCACTCAAAAAATTGCCCCAAAATGACCATTTAATGCACTTTATTAACACATTTTCCAACACTTCTAACAAGCCATTGTGCACTACTACGTAGTTCCTCAATTGCACAAGCTTTAAGCTAGAGTTTCTGTCTTCCTGGATCTGAGTATGCCACCAAGGACAATTGAGAATTACAAATAATAACACTATTAAACAAGGCTTTGGTTTCATACAACTCATGCGAATTTAAAACATATAGAATATTTCTTAACTATTTACAAATATCTCATGAAAATTATAAATGTAATAATTATTCACATAATTGGGCAAACACTTCGCGCCTTGCGCGAGTAAACGCTAGTCACTTGGATAGTCAGGAATATGAGGGTTGACCGAAGGCATCGTGGCATCATATACACCAAATCACATTATACATTCTCGTTTGTGTTGTAGTATGAATTATTGTCACTTTAGATGAGATTGTTTTTACTTGGATTGTTTTAGGTTTTAGAAGAAACTAAACCAGATCAGACTTAAACAGATCAGATCAGACTTCAAGATATCAGAATAGACCAGGCCTGAATTTTATAGTTATAAAATACACAAGGGCTCGACATTTACCAGACCAAACCAGACCAGTTCAGACCGGACCAGACCAGACTTAAACAGACCAAACCAGACCAGCAAATTTCAGTCCAAGTAAAACATCCTATGTACTAAGGATGTCACGCCCCGGACCTGCCAGACACGTCAACAACCCGCCGTACAATACGAATAGTCAACCGCAGTCCAACTCATCCATACTATACAAGGCGTCTTGTATATCATTCACACATAGTACATCCGTAAACAAACATAATGTAAAATATTCATTTAAAGCAGCGGAAGTAATATAACAAGTGTTCAAGCCACACTTGACAAAACATGGGCATACAAGCCCTCAAATAATTATTCAGAAAATAATATCCATGAGCATTAATTTAATATTTTTAAAAATAGGAACGGAGGAAGCATGAACCACGTCTTCCTTCCTTGAATTCTCTCAGAGCAACGGGCACTGGTAGCGAGCTCAACTTCTACCTGAAACTGTGAGGTGGCCTCCCCCGTGAAGGGGAGGTCAGTACTTGGAAGCATTTGACAAGCACAATGACAACTATACTAAGTATAATCAATGTTTCAATTTCCAAGACCCTCAAACTAGGGTGTTATCACATTATAGTTAACTTCGTTCGTTTAGTGTCAATTCATCGTTATTTACCACAGTTTAGAGCCCAGCTCATAATCACCGTTATCTAGTACGGTTTAGAGCCCAGCTCAATAATCACCGTTATCTACTACGGTCTAGAGCCCAGCTCAATAATCACCGTTACCTACTACGGTCTAGAGCCCAGCTCAATAATCACCGTCATCTCCATCAGTCTAGAGCCCAGCTCAATAATCACCGATATCTACTACGGTCTAGAGCTCAGCTCAATAATCACCATTATCTACATCGGTCTAGAGCCCAGCTCGATCATCATCGATTCTTTACAATTCAATTTCTTAGGATCCATTCATCCATTATTCAACTACAATTCCAACTAATATTTCAATACTAGTTATTTACTCATTTCAATATAATTCTTCATTCATGTGTAATTTTGCCTCAATATCAAAATATCACTTTTATACTTTCATGGCTTCTTCTCATGAAATAAAAGCATACTATCACAAATGGGATTCATGGTTGATACAACTATCATGCCATCATATTCATAACATATAAACATACACAATTTATTCATAAATTTGTATATTATGCAAACTATACTTATAATCAA